CTAATTTAGGAAAACATTTGCTTTCAACAGCTAACATGAAGGCATGTATATCTTACTTTTTTCGCACTCAGCTTTGTCTTAGTTAAATCATTCTTTAATAAATTAATTTTCAAAACAAAGGCAATGTCCTTTGGGGACTACAAGTTCATGTAGATACTGTCCTGATATTAACAGATTTGTAGTTGGACATTACGCCATAACACTTTACCTTTTTGGTTCTGGGGCATTATCTTTTATAGTAGCTGTTTGAGAGCAGTCACATGTTGTCAGTACTTTATCACAGGTCACACCTCACCCACAGAAAGGCTACAAATGACTCACACTGATCTTTGCCCAAAAATGTGTGCTTCTCACAAGCTCTAGGTCATGCTTGGACATTTATCAAATGGCAGCTAAGGGTCCTTAGCATGGTAGGAAAAGCACCAAATGAAACTGAAGCACCATTATGGTCCCTCCATTTAAAAAAACTGAGGATGATGAGTATCTTCTAGGAACCATAAGCTCATGCAGATAATAACTTTCATGATATTGTCAAATGCAGTTGGACATTTCACCATAATACTTTATCTTTTTATGGTTCTGAGGCATTAGCTTTTACAGTAGCTATGAGGGCTACTAAAATCTAAGAAAGATTTAAAGTAAAATATAACTGAATGCTAATTAGTATAGATTTTCACGCTAACTTCAGTAGGACCTAGTTAAAAGCATAATGTTAAGATATCAGACTACAGAATCAGAATTTCTTTCTTCTGCAAGGGACCTTAATGATTATCCAGCATCCTCATTTTACAGATCCAGAGACCCAACTAAGAGGAATAGAATCTTTTTATTTTTAGAATACCATATTTTTATATATGTGATTATAACACGTTTTATAGCCTACAAAAAATGCTCCCTACTTGGTAAAAAAGCGTGTGAGTATTTTGCTAACTCTGAGCCCATATAGTTAAAAAAAAAAAGGCAGATCTTCAAAGATATGCTTTCTTGAAACTCAGACACAATTTCACAAGTCAACATACATAGGATCTGATTCCAGCCTGCACAGGTGAGTCCCACCACAAGACACTCTTCCTGTGAAAGTTTCAACTTCCAGAGCACAGCAAGTCAGGCACTTAATGTGCAAGGATACTTTAGTTTTCTGGGAAGGAAATCAGGAAGAATGCTTTCTGCTAAGACCGAGTATTTCCCTGGAATCTGTGGTAGCACTGTTTTCTGAACGTTGGGCAGCAGCTCACTAGGAGCCGAGGTTGAGTGGGCATGCCCACTGAGCTGCTTCTTTCACTTCTTTGGCTGCAATCAAATCTCTGCTTTCCTTCCTGCCACAACAATTCCTTAGCATTTTAATGCAGTTTGCCCCGGTAAATGGTTTGTTTCACCAAATTTTTCTCACAAGGTAATTTTCTAGAATGCATGTATTTTGATAAGGAAGCTAAAACTGTATTTTGAAGGTAAGCACAACTACAAACAAGGACATGATTCCACTATGGCCGCAGAACAACACGTGTGTGTCACTGACACACACCTCTGTTTGCACATTCTCCCAGTTAACCATGTTAACCACAAACATTAAGGTGCACACATAGGAGACTTGACGCTCTAAACACAGGCCTTTCTCAGAACATCAAAGATGACTGCCGAAAGAAGCAACAGTTAGCAAGACACTACTCACAGGCTTTCAGATCAACACCCACAGAAAGATCATTATATCCAGAATTCTGTCAAGGAGCCACTGGGCAAATATACCCGCTCACATAGACCCTGCAAGCAGAGAAATGCATTTTATAAGGGGAGATATCAAGAGAAGGATGAGGTACAACCCCAGCTCTGCAAAATCTTACAAAATGAAATGGAAGAGCTTGTTGCAAGAGCAACAGTGGGAAAAAAAGTTTTTTTTAAAGGCAGTAGTGTTCCTGGCAAGGTTCAGAAGGAAAAATAGCAACAGATCCCAGAAGCAGAGCTGTCGCCAGGAATAATCTAAGCTCAAGCCATTTAAAATAAGGGCAGGATAATACTTACTAAGGATTCCCTGCATGGTCATCCTGGTCCTTGGGCCTCTAGACTGAGCCACGACCAAACATATGCTATACGTCCAGGACTCTGCTATGTCACTGTCAAGGGATAAGCAGACCTTTATCAGGCATATACCAGGCACTAGTAGACGCTGTAGAATGTCTCTACACCACAGGCAGCTGGGGGAAGCACTCGCCCTACTGTACACATGAGGAGATAAATGCTAGGAGAATTCCACAAGGTCATACTTTTATTTTTTATTTTTATTTTCAGAATCTCACTCTGTTGCCCAAGCTGGAGTGTAGTGGCACACTCATGGCCACCACAGCCTTGACCTGCTGGGCTCAGGTGATCCTTCCACCTCAGCCTTCCAGGTAGCTGGACCTATAGGCATGTGCCACCACGTCCAGCTAGTTTTTTGATTTATTGTAGAGACAAGGTCTTGAGGTTGCCCAGCTTGGTCTAGAACCCCTGAGCTCAGGCAGTCCTCTCATCTCCGCCTCCCAAAGTGCTGGGATTACAGCCATGAGCCACCATGCCTAGCTGGGGCCAGAAATCTTATATAAGTGGAATCAGGCCCTGACCTCGCTTTGCTTGACTCCCAAGCGCACAATACCATGTTACCATGCACAGGATATGGCTCCTGCCCTAAAGAGACTTAAAATAACCTAAACCAACTAGAGATCAATACAGCCAATTTATTGAAGAACAAATATCTTGAGACTTTAAAGAAAAAGAAGATACTATGAAAGAAGTAGGGCCCACTTCTAGCCCCAGCTGCTCGAAAGGCAGAGCATCCCTTGAGGATCCCCTGAGCCCAGGAGTTTGGAACCAGCCTGGGTGATACAGTGAGATCCTGTCTTTAAAAAAAAAAAGTAGGACTTGGGCTCCTCCTCCAACGATGGGGATGAGTTAACTACATGGGTGCATGGAGAGAAGGAAGGGGGTGTCCAGGAAGAGCAACATGAGCAGTGGCACTGTAGTGGGAAGAAACCTGACCCCTTAACAGGACAGCAAAAGACCACACCACACAGAGTGCAAAGATGAGTGCTCAACTGAAACAGGACATAGATAGGAAGAGTGAGGCTGATTATGAAAGGCCTTGGAAACTCAGGCATATTATTTTCGACTTGAGATAGGAGGTAATGGAGAGGGACTAAAGGTTGCAAGGTCGGGAGAAGCACAAAGTCATCATTTAAAAAGATCAGATTGGCAATAGAATGCTGAAAAGACCAGAGGGGAGCTTCTCATTAACTCACTCATCCATTCATTCATCCATTCATTCATTCATTCATCTGGCAAACATTGAATAAGGGCTTACTAAGAGTCAGGCTTGGAAGGTTCACTCAAAGGTTGTCCTACTGCAGGAGAGGAACGGTGAGGTCCTGGTTAGAACACAGAAGGATCTATATAAAACACATTTAAAAGGTCTTGGTGGCTCACAGATATACAGGTGAGGGAAATGAAAGAAAAGGTAATTCAAGATAATTCCAAAGTATCAAGATTGATATAATTTACACCTGTACTGGGAACCTCAAAAAGCAATTGGAATAAAACAAACAACAGAAGCATAAAAAAGGGCTTTGATGATGTTGAACAATCAATAAATAAAACCTTAAATGGCCTGTTTGACATCCTGGTAGCTCATTTGCATTTAGTCTGTAGGGAAGAAACTTCAGTGAGAAAAACCACTTCTTTATGACTAGATGCTGAGTTCCCTTGGCAAGGACAGCTGGGTTCTGCCTAACCACACAGATCCATCTACCCTCCAACACACCCCTCCACTGTCCAAACTAGACTGGCCTCAGTAAGAAACATGGTTGCCGTGAGTTTTGACTTGGAGAAGGGGACTAGACAGAGAGGAAAGGGAGAAGCAAAAAGTGGACAGGGTCACTGTAAGGCTGGACCTTGGGAGCAGAGAATGGCACACGATGTCACTTTAAAGAATTCCAGCACTCCTTTCATTTCTACACCCACTTCCTAGTGTTTTACAATTCCTGGTCCTCAAATAGATGGGAAGGCCTTAAAAGATTCTTTACCAAATTGTAGTGCTTTGTTCAGAAACTATTTCAAATGTGCATATTTATGCATATATTAACTCCTAGCACAGCTATGCATAAGATTGAGACACAAATTCTTCTAAATAATTTATATGTTGACCACACAAATTTAAAGCTCATTGGCATTTTACATTCGGCAATGGGGCCATTCACTGGGTTGCACACCCTGAAACCCCACTCAGTGGGAATGCAAGAAATGAGAACTGTAACTACCAAACTTCTATTACTACAAAGAGTGCTCCTGGTCAAAATAAAAAACATAAGCACCAGTACCTTAGAGAAATCCAGTCCCGGTTGCAAAATTCAGCGTGTATTCCCTCAGCCAAGTCCAGCTTAGCAAAAGCAGGTCTTTATTTAGTTATAAGTGGAAAGGAATACTCTTCTCGGCTGAATGATGAATTAAACTACCTTACATGGAAGCTCTTAACGTTAGTGTCAAAGTCAAACTTTAAAAAGGTTAACATTACCAAAGCAACGGCTGTTCTGGAAAATCCTTCAACATCCTTATAACATCCACTCAGATTAGTAAGAGAAATCAGAGCAGGAAGAAATCCAGTTTTTATAAAATGGTTGCAAATAAGTAGTGAGGTTTCTTGCTCAGACCCCTTGCGGGACAACCAAGGGCCTAGTCAGGAAAATTCCAAGAGCAAGTCCTCAACAGCCCCCCAAAGGGGATTCAGATTGGCTAGGATCTTCCCCCCTTTAAGACTAAAAGGTAAACACCCATCAAAATCCTCCAGACTCCGAGGAAATGAGAGTTTTCATGCCAGGAGGGAGAGACCCACATGACCGCGGAGAGAAACTAGAACCCACCAGCCCCTCCGATCCCCTGCGGGGGCGCCGGCCGGGGGTCGCCCCCGCAGCCCAGCCCCGCAGCTAGAGTGACAGGTCGCCTTGCAGGAGCCCCTACCGACCCCGAGCCTCACTTACTGGCGCCGCGAACACAGGCGGGGGCCCGCCCCTGCGGTGAGCGCAGCTCCTCGGGACCTGGAAGCCGGGACAATCCCTGCTAGGACAGGCCGAGGGCTCCGTGCGGGGACGCCCGGGAGGTCCGGCGAGTCGCACGGGCCGCGCGGCGCATGGTGGTGCCGCAGGAACCCGGCCGTTTTCCAGCCTCCGGCAGGAAAACAAACAAAAGGCTGGGTGGCTGCTAGTGGGGACGACCGGCCGCGTTTCCTGGGAAAAGTTACCCTGCAGCTCCCCTCGCTGGCCCTGCGCGTCCCTGCACCGCGACCGGCTCGCCCCGGGGCGCCCAGCCCAGCCGCGCCGCTCCCGGCCCAGGCGGCGCAGAGCCCCCGGTCCCCACCGCCAGTGGCTCGCGAGCGCGACCCCGACTCCGAACGCACGCCTTGTCGCAGATCGGCTCGACCCGCTCTCCGTGGAGGAGATCGGTGGACGTTCTGAGGACGTTTAACTAAAGGTAGGGTGAAAACATTTTTCTGATTTTAACAAAGGTGGCTGAGGTTGCACGACACTGTGAACGCACTCAGTGCCACTGAACTGTACACTCAACACTGGTTAAATGGCAAATTGTGGGTTACCTACATCGTGCCACAATAGAAAAATGTTTAAAATGAAAACGCAACTGATGACTCTTAGCATTCGTTTGAACTCGTTAAGAGTTTTTTATATTGTTAGTAAGTTTAGTTTGAAAGACTGGATTGTATCCAGGTGGAAACTGACTAGATATCCTGGAGGCAACAGTTGTCCTCTCCCTGGAACTAGTTATGTGAAATCTAACACGAGCAGGCACTTTTAACACATTCACTTATAACTTACATTGCAGACATTACCTTACATCATCCTTCTAAGGCTGGAGCGCTGTGAAAAAAGAAATTACATAATGTTCTAAGCCAGTGGTTAGCAGGAGGCATCAGAACCACCTGGCAGGCTTGTTAGATCAAATTCCTGGGCCCCACCCCCAGAGTTTCTGGTACTGTGTTGTTGGTCAGGGGAATCACAGTGCCCTAAGGAACATAACTGATAAAGCAGTAACGCTTTGATTTAAAATTTCCCAGCTCATCACCATATCACTTTTCCTTCACTATTTTTATTTTTTAATTCTACAAATTGTAGATTGTGCTTTACTGAAATAATCAACACCAAAGGCCAGAATCCCTCTCTCATCTTACTCTTGTGAAAGAAATTTGCAAGATACAAGATAATCAAGCTTCTTTAGATTCCTCTTTATAGGTCACCTGGTCACTTGACAATTTTTAACATTTATCTACCTCTGTGTTTATCCATATAACAGCCAAGCCATATGGCAAATGAAACTAGAAAATCATTATCGGTGAAAAGGCAGGGTGATAAGGGAACCTAACAAGTCATATACTCTTCCCAAGAAAAGCAAATTTTAAAGTAACTAAAGTTATCAGTTGCAGTCAAACTCAATTGTCTGAGTAAATCTACTTGGTAAACAGAGGTACTGTCTTGGCCCACCTTTAGCAAGGATATACTGGGCTAGTAAGTAGCTTAGATCTGTTCTGGCGTCAGGAAAATTATAATCCTGTAAATATAATATGATGAGATAATAAAACCTTGTAAGGTCTGGTGGAAACAATGGAACCGATCCAAAGTAGAAAATTAGTAACTACGAAGCATAATGGTGTTTTAATAAAATAGGTACTCAATATATCTTTACAAATATGATTTTATTAAGCTTTATTATTTAATTACTTGCTAGAATAATAGAAATCATCTGTTCTAACTGACCAACATATCTTTTTTTTTTGAGTCGAAGTCTCCTTCTGTTCTGTCGCCCAGGCTGGAGTGAGTGGTGCACTTACGGACACTGCAGCCTGTCGACCTTCTGGGTTGCTCGCTCCTTCCACCTCAGGAGCCTTCCAAGTAGCTGGAACTACAGGCATGTGCCACCATGCCGGCTAATTTTTCTTTATTTATCGTAGAGATGAGAGCTAGCCAAGTTGCCCAGGCTGGTCTCGAACCCCTGGGCTCAGGCAATCCTCTCACCTCGGCCTCCCAAATTGCTGAGATTATAGGCATGAGTCACCGCACCTGGCTGACCAGCATATCTTAAATTAGCATTCAACATTCAGTGAAATGGACTTGTTCTGAAAATATTCAGTACTTTATTATTAGTTTGCAAAATTTGTCTTTAGTGCTTAAGAGTCACATTTATCATTTTATTCTGTTATATATTATTAGATTTAACCCTTTCGCCCAATTTAAATGTCCAAATCCAATTTTAAAGAGTTCATTGGGAGGAAAATGATCCCTAAAATATGTAAGCCCTGGAGTTTCCTTTAAAAACTAAAAATTTAGCTGGGCTCGGTGGCTCAGCCTGTAATCCCGCGCCTTTGGGAGGCTGAGGTGAGTGGATTGCCTGAGCCCGCGGGTTCGAG